TGAAATGGTTTGTTTTGACTTGTGTTTTACGTTAATGCTTTGTTCATATTATGTCGTTGTTTTTCATGTAATTGTTGTGATGTTTTTAATGTAATTGTTGTGACTTATGTCATTGTTTTTCATGTAATTGTTGTGACTTGTGTTTTACGTTAATGCTTTTACGTTAATGCTTTGTTCGTATTATGTCGTTGTTTTTCATGTAATTGTTGTGATGTTTTTCATGCTTTGTTCGTATTATGTCGATGTTTTTAACATAAAACACTATTTATATAGCAACCTGATTTCGTAGTCAAAACAAACCATTTCATAGTCAACCTTTAAAAAAAATACAAAAAAAAAATACAAAAATACAAAAATAACAACGATTTCGCAGATAGAGTCAGAGGATTTCGCAGATGGACCTATTCCATCTGCGAAATTACCCCTATATATACAACAAAACATTAAAAAAAATATATTAAAACCACCTGCGAAATGGATGAGAAGCCCATTTCGCAGATGGGACCTTCTCATCTGCGAAATGGATGACCATTTTTGTAATTTTGATTTTTTTTGGCTATTTTTGTAATGTTATTAGTGTAAATGGTTATTTTTGTAAATTTCTCTAATAATAATAATAATAATAATAATAATAATAATAATAATAATAATAATAACCGTTTAAATTGACATATAATTTAGTAAAACCTTTTTATTAATGTAAAATATCTAAAAGTTCCATTAATTTGGTTATAGAAATGCTTATAAAGCAATACCAATCTTGTAAATATTACAGTAGTAGTGATTTATAATTTACAAATTAATAGATTTAAAAGTAAATACTTTAAAAGTGTGCATAATTTTTTATCAATCCAATTTGATGTACTTTAAAGGAAATACGACATGAGCACAAGAAGCATCTCAAGTTTGTATCTTTAAGTAACATAAACACACAAAATTTGTTTGCATAGCATTCTTATCACGTACTAATTATACATAGTTAAAATTATAGATATATAATAGAAGTAACACCAACGAATTAAGTATCATTTTCATCTAAAACTCAAGTTTAAAGATTATAGAACCACAACTTATATTCTATCTGTGTCTCCATTTTAGCCATAGATTTTCATCCACTTTATTGACCACCACAAGATGTTAGTAATTCCTATTAAAAAAAACTCTTAAATTCGTCATAAAGACTGATTTTGATAAATTAAAGAAAAAAAATCATTTATCAAAACCGAAAGAAGGAAAGGGCTCTCGAATGAAACTATACAATTTAAGGCTCTAATCTTGATACTCACCACTTCACATCATTATATTATTTAATAAACTTACTGATAAACCAAAAATACACGATTGAAACTTAAAATTACTCGTCATTGTTATTGTTGCTGAGATTATTGTGGTATTGATCATCTGACAGATATTCTTGAAGATAGTTCCACCTTTCACTAGGTTATATTTTAATAACTCTTGACACATATACACTGGTACTAGATACAAATTGTTGATGTGGATGAAGTGTAAAGATCGGATATACGTGGAAATTGCCCAACATTTTGCTTCTATTATCATGTTATGTAGTATGATACAAACGTATATTGTGTTGCATATTTTGTAATGATCCCAAATCTGTATCAAGTGTTTCACTAGATGTCATTTACTTTTTAGGACTCCGAAAGCCCGTTTCACGTCTTTCTTAGCGGATTCTTATGTTGCTTTGAATATCTTTCGGTTTTAATCTTGAAGATATGTGCACGCTTTCACAAATGTACCATAATCAAGATATATCTCATCAACAAGTGGTAACCGTGTTTGTATTCATTTTCATTCACTGTGAAAGACATAACTTTTTCTATTAGAATATAGGTGAAAATATGCAACTGTCCGAACACATTTATGTCATTATTGGACCTGACGACCCAAAAATATGTATGTCAAATCCACACATCATTCGATGCAATAGATTCATGTATAATGTATGGGTATCCTACAGCACCACATCTAAATTAACATCACCAAATATTTAGATAGTTACCCTCCCAATGCACAAAGTCAATGTTTCATATCATTCTCTGGAAACCATGCTTTGTTTCACGTGCCACATACATGTTATCGGCATCAAGTTTGGTAAGTCTACACATATTTTCGGGTGGTTCTCTCAAACATCTTTAGATAGGGTGATTGGATTATAATTTTTGCAATAAGGTGAGGTGTAAATATATGTAAGTTTATAATCTTTTGAAAAAAAATCTTACTTTTGTTAAAAAAAAAAAAAAAAAAACAAAAAACAAAAAAAGATCAGTATTATTTTATCTATCTTTGTTGCTTTTAGTTCCATCATCCACGACACCACACGTGATGCTCTCTCACGCAGCACTTAAGATGCTCACACGCAGATGGTGTGCAATGTTTGAGATTGATGTCATGTCGCGGTGGCCTAATAAGTACTCCAATCAACATAATAAACAAAATTAATAATTTAATGTTTAACTTTTATGTTTAATTTTTAATAAAAATACATACAAATAAAATATCATTCCTAATAAATAAAGATCTTTTTATCAAATATCACATTCTTATTTTATTAAAATCTAGATAGTATTTAAATGTAATAATAAATGCATATCAATTTCATTAATGGATTTTCCTTATAATTTCAAAATTATTAAATTAAAGATTCATTAATTTTCTTTATTTATTTATATAAATTATTTGTTTAAATTTATAAAAGGAAAAAAAACATTTTAATTTGTATAGTTCAATATTTTTTCACTTTTTTTCTTAAAAATCCATACTTCTCAACTTTTTAAATAAACTTATGTAATATATGGATCTCACACCTAATCAAATATTATACGTTTACCTGAGTACAAACTTCTTTTTTGTTTTTAGATACAATCATTTAGTACATATAAAAGTGAAAAAAAAGAACTCCCCACACGAAACAAATTGAGAAATACATCATTATTCCACAACTTTAACCCTTACAAATTATAATATTAATAAATTTTGAAACGTTATAGTCATCATATACAATAAAAGTATTTTTTTGACCGCTCTACCTATGTTGCTTTATAAAATAATAAAAATATGGTATATGATTCTTTATGTATTCAACCAAATCTCATGTTTTATTTGTCTTTTCTTTATTGACGTTTTTTACTAAAACCAGTATTTTATGAATGTATCTATCTAATAATAATTATAAATTTGTGACAACATTTGATAACATTATATTCTGCAAACTGTATTTTGTTTGGATGAAAATAGATATTTCTTCGTAATTAACCAAAGCATCTTTAATTTAAAGGTCAATTTTTACGGTGTAGAACAATCCAATTTTCTTGTACCTAAAGTTTTGTTCATTGACCGCGGAAACAATAATTAAAGTAAATAATTGTGAGTTATTTACAAGGTATAGGGATAGGGTTAGTTGTCACAAGAATTAAAGTCTAAGTCAAAACAATAAAAGTCTTTTCGTCAACTACTCTCGGAAACTTGTAGAACATTTATATTTTTTTAATTATTTATTTATTTATTTTTAACAGCAAACTAATCTACTTTTAAATTATCATTTATCTCTTCAATAATGTATTTAATCATGTTTATATTATTTTAATTTAATTATTCTCATTTACAAAGTAATTAACCAAATTACCAAACACGACATTTTTATAGTAAACGTATTAATCTTATTGAATTAAATTATTTAAATTTTCAATTTCCTAATTTTTGAGATGTGAGTTTCTTGTCGGATTATAATTTTTTTTAAAAGCCTATATACAGTAACAAGGTGACTAAGCTTTAGATGATGTTTTACAAAATTTGTGATGAATTATATGGTTCTCAAATGACAAATATTCAAGTATGATAATGAAATTATGTCATTTTATCATTTACAAACATTTTTATAATAGTGTAACGTCCTAATATTCGTTTTTGTAATTTAGATCCATAATTATTTCGGAATTCAAAACGGAGACATGGTTTAGAGTAGGTTGCAACGAATTGTTTATAGTTAGTTGAGGTTGATGATTATTTTAACAGTTTATTTTTTAAAATACTAGTAAGCAACTAGGCAAATCAGCAACAAATCAACAATTATACAAACCAATCAAGTTAACTTTCAATTTTACCAAATCTATTACCAAACCAATTAAACCATAAAAGAACATTTTTTTTTTCTCAAATCATATTTTTCTGAAACTTTTTATTACCAAAAGTCATTGCATTTCAAAGCTGTTTTTATTTTTTTGCTAGCAGAAAGATTACATATGTATAAAATTTGTAGCAACGAATCAATATGCCAAAAACATATGCCACGTATATAATATATCTTCAATATGATTAAGACATGAATGACACATAATGGAATCGAGATCAATTCCTCTATGGTCCAAGTTACACCTTACAGGAATATGATCCAAGAGCACTCGCATAATAAGAATATCAGACTATTTTCCGGAAGGACACTATTCCATCAAGTTTGCGACCCAATGTTAGGAATAATCATCTCATTTAGATACACCCTAACAGAACTAATAGAGAATTCTTAATAAGTATCCAAGCTTCACACCCATTTATCACTAGAAATTGACGGGTAAAACCCACCAATAACCCCATCATTTACCCGTATTGTGTGAACTTGACACTTTTCCTAAGCCGTCACTATATTGATTTGATTTACAAAACTAAGATTTATTTAAAGATGATTGCTCACATCTAATCACAAAATTGGTGATTTTACCCCATATGATAGCAATTTAATTGCAATTTCTGCAATTCACACTTCGTTCATCATAATTGGATTCCTTTTATGGATTCAATTCGGTCTTGGAAATTAAGGAATATTTTTATATGGTCCAAAAAATGGACATTCATTTACCTTTTTACAAGTAATGGTAGTTGAAACTTTTAAATTCTTTTCATGGGCCCTCACAAATTTTCTCTGTTATATATATATATATATATATATATATATATATATATATATATATATATATATATATATATATATATATATATATATATATATATATATATATATATTTATATATAAAATTGTCCCTATGATATGTATTTTTTTTGGATTTTATTCCAAACCACGAGTTTTTTGGTTTCGTGGTCCTTTTGGACTGGTTTGTTTGTGAAAATGGTCCATGTACTTAACTCCCATTAAAAGGAATCCGTTAACCCCCTCATGTGCCTTCCACGTGAGGGTCTTTCCGTCTTTTTACGTTTAGGGATCATTTTTGCATAAGAATGTCAATGCTTCATTATACCTTTTATCCCTCATTTACATTTCTAAACATCCGTCAACTCCCCACCTCCCTCCTTCTTCATTATGCTCCATTAAACCTGCAAAAAAAACCTCATTCGTTATCCAAAGAAGCTAATCAAAGCAAAAAGAGACAAACTCATATGTTAAAGTCAAAATGGTGTACGTAATGTGGCAGATCAGACCAAAAAATGAAGTTATGGACGTATCATCCATATATGGTAAGTTGCTATGTTTTCTTTAAGTTTCCTATTTTGCATTTTTCCCTTGATTTATACTAAAATCTACAAAATTTTGACTTGTAGCGGGTGCACCCACATGGTTTAGTATTAAGTTTCATCACGGTAGGAAGTTTACTACATTACCCGATATGAAGTATGCTGGAGGTGAAGTGTGTTATGTTGATTATGTGGATATAGATGAGTTTTCTGTACATGAACTTGATGTTATAATGCTTGACCTAGGTTACCCAAACCCACGAATGATTGAATTGACTGATGAATCCCCAGTGATATACCACCATTTCAGGATACCCAATGGTGACTTTCAATTTGGTCTTAGAGCTTTAGGGAATGATCAAGATGTTATCAATCTTTCTAAATTTATTCGAAATAACAAGTTGATTGAGGTGTACACGGAACATGGGAAGACAAATCTACTCACTTACTCATGTCTCCAAATGCAAAGGGTAAAGTTATCATTGAGGATTACCAGAAAATGATGATCAAGGGGCTGAAGTTGAGGCTGAAGTTCATGTAGAATCTCCATTGAGAATTATGAACCATGTCAATGATGAGCCAGTTGGTGAGTACATGCCTTTGATTCTTTTTGGGAGTAGAAGTTATGCTTCCTTACCAGAGTATAAAAGGGGTAAAGTTTGGGATTCAAAAAGAGGTGAAGGTTCTTGTAACAAGAGGCTTAATTTAGAGGATATTGATGATTTAAAAGAGAAGGAAAACACTGATAAGAGTGTTAAGGAGGTTCAGGAGGCTGCAACTGTTGTTGAAGGATGCTACAAGCCATTTACTTCAAATATTGCTAATGTGGAGGATGAGATGATTGGGGTTTAGGGTAATCTTCATATTGAAGGATTCTACAACACCCCACCTGTTAATGATGATGAACAATATAATAAGCTTTTTCATAACCTTATGGACAGTTTACTTGGAAGCGATGAGGATGTTTAAGAGTATGAAGGGGGTGATGAATCTCAAAAGAGTGATGAAGACTATGACAAGGATGAAGGTGATGATGAGGATAGGAAACAATATAAAAATGAAGATCAAGTGGACGACATAATTGATGAGGAGAACAATATACAAGATGTTAATGTGGACATGACAGACTTCTATCTAAATGTTGAAAGTGATGTTGAAGGAGCTCGTATTAATGATTTTCATGGTCATGAACCTAAGATATGGAAGTGATCAACAATGAGGAGTTCGAATCATTGGATGAAGGATCAGACCAAGATAGAGAAAGAAGAGCTCTTATAAAAAATTTGGGAAAAGAAAAAAGGTGCAGCCTTGGGTCAGTACATATATAGTTATTCTCAGTTGGACAAAAGTTTAAAAGTAAAAAAGAACCAATGGAGCTAATAGATGTGCATGCACTAGAAACAAGATAGAATCTATTCTTTTAAAAAAAATGATAATGTAAGGCTTAGGGCACAGTGCAGAGGAATTGTAAATGTCATCAATAAAGGTCAAGTGGGGACTCAACCTACCACTTCAAAAAGCAAGGGAAAAGAAGTAAATACACAAAAAGTAACATGTGGGTGGTATATACATGGATCTAGGTCAAACCCCGAATCTAACTGATTTATAAGAACCTTAAACCAAACTCATACATGCTTACGAACAAGGAAACTTAGCGCTTGTACTGCTTCGTTAATCTGCAAGAAAATCATAGATCAAGTCGAGGCAGATCCAAAGATTCCTTTGAGATCCATACAAGATCACTTTCAAAAGACTTACCAGGTGGGTATTTCGATGGACAAGATGTTTAGGGCAAAAGATATCGCAAAAATCATGTAACTGGGGACTACACAAAACAATTTGAATTGTTGAGGGACTATGCTCTTGAACTTCAAGCTACAAACTCAGACACAACAGTCAAAATAGATGTGTATCCTAATGGAAACCCTGTTTCCCCAACAAGGTAGTTTAGAAGGTTTTACGTATGCTTGGGTCCATTGAAAAAAGGTTTCAAGCCATGTCTTAGGGACTTAGTAGGTTTGGATGGTGCCTTCATGAAAGGCTCATTCCCTAGTCAGGTTCTTACAATAGTTAGTTTAGATTCCAACAATGGAATTTATCCCTTGGCCTATGCAATTGTTGAGTCTGAAAACACAGCTAGCTGGAAGTGGTTTTTAGAAAACCTTGGGGATGAATTGGAGCTTGGGAGCAACTCAAACTATACTTTCAAAAGTGATAGGCAAAAGGTAAACTGCAGTTCATCAATTGGTCATTTAGATTGTGTGTTTTTTTTGTTAATTAATTCTAATTATTGTCTTTTGAGTCATATAGGGTTTACAAATTGCAACTCAATTGTTTCCCAATGCTGAGCATAGATATTTTACCAGACATATTCATGACAATATGAGAAAGAAGTGTATGCAAAGTGAGTATAGGGACCACTTATGGATATGTGCATCAACAACCACCATTTCTGAGTTTGAGCATTTGATGAAGGAGTTTAGTGAGTATGATAAAGAGGCATGTCAATGGTTGAAGCAGATTCCTCCTGTACATTGGGCAAGGAGTCATTTCTTAGGTAATTTTACATGTTTTCATATAGTCATGATTATGTGTTTTAGTTATTTATCAGCATTAATTGTATGTTATTGTAATGAGCAGGAAGAGAAGTTTTTGATGTGTTGATTTCCAACATGTGTGAAGTGTTTAATGGGAAGATAGAGAAAGGCAAGGACAAACCTGTAATTTCATGTTTAGATTTCATTGGGGAGTATCTAATGAAGAGGATATGTAATCTCATGAAGGCAATGAAAAAGGCTAAAGGTCCACTAATACCTACAACAACAGACATCCTAGATGCAAGGAAAAAAGGTGCTTCATAATATATTGCTAGGTGGAATGGGGCTAACAAGTATCAAGTCTTTGGAGCTTTACAAGATCAGCATGTGGTGGATGTTAGGATCCAAACTTACACTTTCAGAAAGTGGGAATTAATGGTAATACCTTGCAGACATGCAATTGCAACTCTAAATGAAATAAGCAAAGACCCTGAAGTTGAGCTTGGCATTTACGAGTGGGTACACAAGGTGTATTGGCTAGAGACATGGCAAAAAGTTTATTCATTTAAGGTGGAGCCAATTAAAGGGAGACCCATGTGGCCTAAAAGTAATTGTCCAACAAAGCTAATCCCTCCTCCACATCGCACTCAGGTGGGAAGGCGTAAGAAAAAAGAAGACAAAATGAGGGTCAAAGGTTAAGCAAAAGGCAGAAGGCAAGTCAAGGTGATGGATGCAATGAGATGCAAGGACAAGATTCCCAATGACCAACAAATGATGGAGTGCAAAAGCTATCAAGGAAGCATATCAGTGTCACTTGTAGCAAATGCAACAATAAGGGACATAACTCTAGGACCTGTAAAGGGCAAGGTGGGAATCGGTCCAAGAAGTGATTTTGGTTGCTTATTGTGGTGCAATGACTATTTAGTTGTTTGTTGTTTAAAACTATTTGTTTTTTTAATACTTTTAGTTATGGTTTGATGATGTGGTTATTAATGGTGTACAGACACTTGTATGCTTAATTTGCTATTTGTTTTTGGTTCCACTCATGTGGTTATTAAATGTGCATTTTGGTCAAATTATGACACGTATTTTGGTAACGCACTTTTGTTACATTTTGGTTCTATTTATGTGCTTGTATTTGACTATTGATACACATTTTGAACAAATTTTGACACTATAATATCATTTATATCGTTAACAAAATTGGAATTCATTACAAACATAATGAAGTCAACTTACAACAAAATGATACCATTTTTATACCAATACATTGGAATTCATTATCCTGAATCACTTGATCAACAAAAAAAACCCCACATTTGTCTAACCCTATCCCTTACTTAGACCAAATACTAAAGATAACAATCATAAACATAAACCATGTCACACCCCAAAACTAAGAATGGTGGAAACATTTTAGGGCGGAGGATGTCATGTAATGTATCACAACAATGTAAAGTAGTAAACAAGCAACAACATCATCCATTGCATTAATAGTATAATTTTAATTACATATGTGTTCTTTCATAGTATAAGACAACATAATGAATAATCAAAATAAAAGAGGAGTCTTGACTGCTCCGTCTTCACAAAACCTGGTCGTCGTACCTGTATATTTGTGACCTGAGAATACAAGTTATTTTGAAAGCGAATATCAGCCAAAAAAAAGCTGGTGAATTCATAAGTATTAATGTGTCTTTGATGTGTAAAACTTGTAATAAAGGTCTTGACATTGTTTTGAAAGAAAGCTCATATAAGTATGTAAATGTTTGTAAGTAATGGAAAGCGTTTGAATAACCCTAGAAATCCCTATGATCCCTATAAAAGAAGTCTTCTACCAAGACCCTACTGTTTTGAAAGTAGTCTTCTACCAAGACCCGACTGTTTTGAAAGTAGTCTTCTACCAAGACCCGACTGTTTTGAAAGTAAGTATCTATGTAATTGTGATGGTTTTTCCCTGTTTAACTATTAGTATAAAACTATAGTATACCTCATCGTTTATGTGTATGAGTCACAATATAAAGGTAATAAGGAAAATAGTTATCTATATCAAATATATCCTACATCGTCGTTCATGTGAATGTGTCACAAAGTAAAGGAAGATAATAACATAATAACTTAAGTACTATCCTTTTGCACTAGGATAACTAACAGTGTTAACTTAAGACATCTGTAGATGTACATTTACCTCTGTTGCTAACAGCTGGGTGTAGGAATAGTTAGTCCCTTAAAGTATACCTGTAATGGTATCAACCTAAGACATCCGTAGATGTGCATTAACCTCTGTAGCTAACAACGGTGAAAGGAATGGTTAGTCCCACAAAGTATCCTCTGGTACTAGGATATAAAGTCCAATCTATCTCGTCGATTATGTGATTGCATCACAAAATAAAGATAAGAAGGAGAAGTATATAACAGAATCTATTCATATAATATGTAATAATAACTTGTCATATAATATATATGCAAAAGTATTCATGTAAACATATTAATGTAAACGTACTCATGTAAGTGTATCTATGTAAACACATTCATGTAAGCGTATCTATGTAAACGTACTCATGTAAGCGTATCTATGTAAACGTACTCATGTATCATGTAATGTACTAGTATAAACTCATGAATGAACTGATTCTTGTGTGATTCCTAGTACTTGGAATGGTAAGTGGTATCTCCTAACTATACCTATAATAGTTACTAACCATGTACGTGTATAACCTGAAGTAATGCCTTTGCTACCCAAAGGTACTGAACTGTAATGCCCGTAGAACATGGCTAGTCAATTTAGAGACGATAGGCGTCAAAAATGAATTTTTGATGAAATATTATTTAGAATGAATAATCTTAACTAAGTTATAGTATATGTTACAAGGTTTCTGTGCATATAAAGAACGCCGAAATCCGAGTTATAACGAAGAAGTTATGACCCGTCGAAGTTTTGCGGCAGAACCGGCACGACGCTGAATGACGTAAAAAGCGAATTTACATTAGAGTGATATTTAGCCTTAGAAATCTAAATGAAAGTCGTAGAGTTCGTTAAACCATGATCGTGCATAAAAAGAACGTCCAAATCTGACTTCGTATGAGGAAGTTATGATTTTTCTAAGTTTCGACTTAGCGGTATGCAGCCCGAATACTCGATTTGAGACCGAGCGGTTTTTAGCCGAAACAATCTAAATGAGAATCGAATCTCTCGTTAATAGGAGTAAAACGATAAAAAGATAGGCAAAAACGAACGTCGGATAAAGAAGTTATGATTTTATAACGGAGTTTTCCTGTCCCGGCCTACTAAAAATAAATAATAAAAATAAATTCAAAATTAGCCAACGGAGTCTAAACGAAAGTTGTAGATCGTAATCTCACCTACGCGGGGATATAAAGAACGTCGAAAACGGAGTTCGTATGAGGAAGATATGAATTTTTGAAGTTTATTAAATATTTTCGATATTTTATTTATATATAAATTCTGATATTATCCGAAGGGGGGGAGGGGAGGGGGGGGGGGAGTCAGCGATCTTATCGCCTTTACGCCCAGCGTAATTCGTGTTCCAGCCCCCTATAAAAGGGTGTTGAGGGCAACCGACTTCTTTGCTCATTTCTTCCCGTTTTCTTGCGTTTTTGCATCGTTTTTCGTGCAAGAAATATCCCGAAGCCCCGGTATCATTCCTGAGCCCCGAAGCAAGTCCCGAGGCCCCGAAGATCCCGAGAAGTGTGATTCCCGAGCCGAAGCTCTGCACACGAGGAGCCCGGTTTTTGTGACTATCTTCCAGATCTACCAAAGAATACTACTTCTACAAGTCGTAGTGCTGTCCGATCATCTTCTAATCAAGTGAGTGTGTGGTTACTTTCTTCCAACGCATAATTATTAAGTATTTAATATAAAATACGTGTTATGTGTATATTTTGTTGTTATATGCGTGAATGTATATTCACTTTCTTCTATCTCATAGATCTGATTTATTCTCTATGAAATACGTGTTATGTGGGTATGCCTCATCTGTTATGTGGAATAAGTATTGAATGAGAATGCTATACAGGTTTTAAACTATGTATAAAAATATATATTTTTATCTACTAATATATTGTGTAGAACATGGGTAGATAGTTGATGTGTGATAAACAGATGAGAGGCCCCAATGTTGTTGTTGTTGATCTAGTTATTCAGCGGAGTATGGATTAGACCAAGAGGTTAGTTTTAGATCCGGGAGTATGGATTAGGTAAAGAGATAAAACTTGTTATTAGTCTGGGAGTATGGATTAAGACTAAGTTAATTGTCCCTAGTCCGGGAGTATGGATTAGGTACCGTTATTGATCCGGGAGTATAGATCAGGATTAAGGTATAGTTAATTGTCCCTAGTCCGGGAGTATGGATTGGGCACAGTTATTGATCCGAGAGTATGGATCATATCAGGATTAAGGTATAGTTAGTTGTCCTTATTCCGGGAGTATGGATTGGGTACAATTATTGATCCGGGAGTATGGATCAGATCAGGAGGTTAGTTTTAGATCCGTGGGTATGGATCAAGGGAAAAGGTTAGTTTTAGATCCGTGAGTATGGATCAGGTGAAAAGGTTAGTTTTAGATCCGTGAGTATGGATCGGGTGAAGATAATAGTTTTAGATTCGTGAGTAGGGATCGGGTAAAGAGGAAAATTTTAGATACGAGAGTTTAGATCGTGTCGTTGTGAGGATCGATGGTGGTGGGATAAGAGTTGCCTTTATATGGTGAAATTGTACAAGTTTTAATGTTTTATATTTATAAATATATGATATAACATTGTGGGATGAAAACCCTATATGCTCACCAGGCTCCCAAGCCTGACCCACTCAGTTTTCTTTGTATCACAGGTATTAATACGAAGACATATTTCACAGAGAGATTTAAAGGAGATATAAATCAATTGTGTAATTAAATGTAAGTTTTGTTTATGCTTATATGTATGTATCGGAACATGACATCCCGAGGTTTTATTATTAAATGAAAATACATTCTCTTCGAGAAATGTTTTGATAAGTTATTATCATATCTTATTTTGGGAACAAATTCCACAACTGTTTTCTTTAAAAGAGTACTCTGATTTTATAAAACAAAGCATAAACAAATCGGTCTTTTCTGGTCGTGAAAATGGGGATGTCACAGTTGGTATCAGAGCATTAGTTTAAGCAAACCTGGAAATTGTAGGAAATTTCTAGACTTAAACTTAGAATGCTAAGTAATGATTGTGATGAGTGTGTCTAAAATATGTTAGGTAGTACACCTAAATTGACACAAGTGCTAGTTTATTTTAGGAATGATGCCTAAGATGCTTTTATGTGCTAAATGTTTTGTGGGATAGCTATATTGATGCTATTATTTGTTCGCATCTATGGTTTGTTGCCGACCGGATCTGGAGACCTTATGTGTTTAGGATTCTAAGCGTACGGCTACGATATTAGAACTAGCATGTAAACGTTTCGGAGTAATAAGGATGATTTAATTATCTATCGTGATTGAGGATCTGAATTCACCTTATTTGGTGTGTAGATAAAAAAATGGTAAGAACCAGAAGTGGAGTTGGAAATGTGAACGAAGACAGGAATCAACCACCTGTGGTTGAGCAAGCACCTGTTGCAGTAGCAACACTAGAGCCAATGACGATGGTTGGGGTCCAAGCGATGATACAGATGATGTTGGATCGCCAAATGGAGGAGACAAGGCG